CTCGTCAATAAGCATGATAAGTCTTACAAAGTTTCCTTTTGATCGCCAACACAAATCCTGTCAGCGTTAACAATACACTTCTGACAAAATCAACTTATTCGACTCTCGCTCAATTAGAGCCGAACAGTCTCAAAGTTTGCTCGTGATCGCAACACCAATCTTGTCACGTTACAATACACCTCTGACACCCACTTATCAATCCTTGTCAATTAGATGAATAAGTCCTCAAAGTTGCTCCAATCGCCCATACACAAATCTTGTCACGTTAACAATACACCTTCTGACAAACCCACTTATCATTCCAAAACTTCGCAATAGGATGGATATAGTCCCCAAAGTTGCTCCAATCGCCAACACAATCTTGTCACGTTAACAATTACACCTCTAACAAACCACATTATCATTCCTCGTCAATAGGATGATAAGTCCACAAAGGTTGTTCCAATCGCAACATAATTCATTGTCACGTAACAATACGACTCTGACATAAAATTCACTTATCGACTGCTCTAATCAATAAGGAGCGAATAGGTCCACAAACCGTCAAGTTAAGCTGCCCACACCATCCTCGATACCAATCAAACTTAATGCGACTTCTCTTCTAGCAGCGATAGGTCCATAAAATTAAAAAACTTTTTATGTTTAGCTTAACATAACACCTCTAAAAGTCACCCCTAAAAATGAACTTGTTAATCCTTTTATCCCAATAAAGACATTAGCAAGTTTCTATTATAAAAAATCCAAGCCGGATTAAAGCAATATTCTGGAATTATCCTAGGATAGTTGTAATGAAATTCTAAAATTTCACTCTAAGTGAAAAATCATGCCAAGCTTAATACACACCTCTGGCACTTCAAACTTTTCTTTCAGTGTTACAAGTAAAACACTGGGAGAAACAAACACAAAATCATGCCTTCAACGCATGAAGGGGACTTTATTTCATCGATCCAATTAAGAATAAAGTCTACGCCCTAACACGCCATCTAAATTGCCTGAGTTAATCTTTCGCCGGAAAAAAGACACCAGATTCATGACTGGCGGGAATCTATCTCGATACACCACTAACAGAGAAATAAGCCATGCACTCTAACACATAGCTGCGAGGGTGGTTTTTTTCCGTTTTTTTTTTCCCGCCGAAAATGACCAAGTCTAAAACGTAATTTCAACACTTTCGTAGCCACCAAACCATAAATCTTTCACGCATGCGGAGGATATATCGTCAATCCCACATTAGAGGATAGATCTGCATCTAACACCATGTGCCGAATCAGAAGCCTAAAGGTAGCATATTTCCCGTAATAATAGCAAAGCCTCGCTATTCAATATCGTAGCCAGGTCCGTTATTAATAACGCAAAATCCATGCCCTTACACGCTATGGCGGAATTTTTATCCTGCATCCTAAGTAGGATAAGGTCAAATGTCAATAAACACAACAGATTACTCGGTTAGTATATTTACCGTGAAAATGACATCAAAATCCCCATGCCTCACACGATGGGGGACTTTATCTCGATCCTAATTTAGAGATAAGCCTACGCCTAACACGGACGTTGCCGTATTAAAGTCCTTTTCCCGTCAAAAATGACAAAGTTTATGTATTCAAAATCATAGGCCATCAAGACTAATGAGAGTTCATTCCTTAGCACAAAATGTACATGTGGTGGAACGCGACTTAGACAATCACATGCATAGCCCGACTCAAACGCGTAGATCACACGAGGTAAAAGGCTTAATCAAATCCGTTGACATAAATAAGAAAGGCTCCGAGGAGTTGTCCAAAAAATCCTACGCACTGCTTTGCAGGCCCATCTGCTTAATGGATGTGAGTCAGAGAGATTAAACAAGAGCGGCCACACAGACAAAGTCTCTTTAAAGACTAGTCAAAACAATGCACAAGGAGCCACTTCCCATGTCTTAATCCAAAACGTTGAGCATCAGTACTCGCGATGCCAAAAAAAACGAACGACCAGAGAAGCGTCACTACTCAGTGTTTCCAAAATTTAACAAAATGCAAGGATGAAACACCGCATTCAAGTTCAAAATGCAGGCGTCACCCCACATTATACCAGAATAACAGGATTAAATGGCGCACTAACCTTCACACATGCGTACCATGCGTAGGAAAAACCTTCAGTACCAAGGCTGCACTTCGAAAGCGAGTGCCCAGAGAACAACTTCCTCACTTGTGTTAAGGAATCAACAGCATCCAGTCATCAGAATTGCAGATCCAAAGTATTCCGAAAAATTCGTCTCAGGTCAAACGGTAGAACTTAATCGAAAACTTTATGGAGGGGGATTCTGTTGGCACTGATCTAAATCCACAATAGATAGTTGACCATACAAACACCGAATGTTATGGAAGTATATAATCTGACGACTTCCAGAAGTGAACAATACAATTTTGAGGACTTCACGCTAGAAGGCCCTACAATCTTCTGACGACCTTCACGACAACTGATGAAAGCTCTAATTCAACAACATTCACAATCAACATCGGGAGTTATAATCTGATAACTCTCATATTTTCAAGGAACCAAGATGAAGATTACAAGAGGATGATCTGTGCAAAGCTCTAGCAAAAGAGACTACAAATTAACGGTCTCTTCATATTAGAATGCAGATATCTCTCAAACCGTAAGGAATTTGACGAAATGGAGGAAGCGAACCAAAGCCTTAGGCTTGGTTCGGATAGCTCCGTCTCGTCGAGATAGCCGATTTTCATATATAATTCGTCCAATTCCGACTTACGGTTTGAGAGTTATGACCTGTTCTTCGTAGCAAATTATGTTCTGAAGTCCGTCTGCAAGACCGGACTTCGTCAGAACATTGGACTTAGCTTGAAGCTCGCCAAGCCCGCCTAAGGTTCACCTCTGCATTACAGAGTCAAAACGCACAGGTCGAACCAGCGTTATAACCTTAAAACGCAGAGATATCCTTGTGATATAACATCAAAACGCAGAGTTACGGCACAACTCTGCGTTTTCAGCCTAAAACGCAGAGTTCACCTCTAAAACGGCCCAACTGTGCGTTTTCAGTCTAAAACAGGCTCAACTCTGCGTTTTCAGCCTAAAACGCAGAGTTCATCTCTAAAACAGCACTACCTGTGCGTTTTCAGCCTAAAACAGGCTCAACTCTGCGTTTTCAGCCTAAAACGCAGAGTTCATCTCTAAAACAGCACTACCTGTGCGTTTTCAGCCTAAAACAGGCTCAACTCTGCGTTTTCAGCCTAAAACGCAGAGTTCATCTCTAAAACGCATGCGACCTGTGCGTTTCGACTCCCAGCGAGCGCCCAACTCTACGTCTCATTTTTAAGACGCAGAGTTAAGGTCCGAACGCAAGCGGCCCTTGCGTTTTCAACTCCCAACAAGCGCCCAACTCTGCGTCTCATCAATAAGACGCAGAGTTAAGGCCCAGAACGCTGTTTTCAGCGTTTTGACTCGTTCAAAGCACTAACAGAACGGTTTCAAAACCGTTTTCCCCACTATTTCGGGAGCTGTTTAAGAGGGGGTGGTTACACCCCACTCAGCCCATGGAGGAGCTAATTATCCCCTATAAATATTGGGAAACTCAACTGAGTTCAGATCCTTCTTTTTGGGGGCAGCAAAGAAGAGATATTCGGCTAGCTTTGGAGGGGAATTGTTGGAGTTTTGGAGACCAGCAACAGCAGCTTCTTCCTTGGATTATTAACCGAACTTTCGGTTTAAATCAACTCTTTCATAGAGATAAACTCGCTCTGAGTTATTAACTCGTTAAAAGTTATTTTTTACGACTTGCCACGCAAGTTCTCCACAGCGTCAAATCGTGAGGAGAAAATCACGTTCCAGTAAATCAAAACGTTCGAATCGTCAACGAGAAGCAAACTCGACGCGAGCATTCGAGGGAGGCATCTCACCGCCACCGTGAAGAACCCAGAATTAAACAAAGGGGAGAATCAAATTCATTCTCCTCTCTTTTGTAATCGGAATCCAAATTGTAATCGATTTTGAGAGGAATACAAGTCAATTTTTCTTTCATTGTCTTTTTGCTGTCAATTTCCAACAAACAAAAGATGGCGACTCTGCTGGAGACTAGCTTCTCTAACGAAGAAGTGGTGGCGCAATCTGACGTTCATCTCACTGGAACGACTGTTGAAACTCTGATTATCGAATTTAATCAAGCCAAGTACGAGGAGGCCCTCTCCTCCGGATCCCTTAGCCCCAAGGCTATGCGCAAGATCCACAAAGTCTCCAAGGAGACTAAAGCTCCAATTGTTGCTCCTACGCCGAAGGAATCTCTCTCCTTTAGCCGAGATTGCTCGAGTAGCCCCTCCTCTAAAGGAGTGGGCTCAGTTTATGCCAAACGCAGCACTCAATGGTACGTTGTGCAATCAAAACGTAGCCTTCAGAGGCACGTTTCAACATCAAGACGCGGACCTTTAAAAGAGCCAGTACCTGAAAAACTTTACTCTCCCCAAATTAACCTTCAACCAAAATAAATATACCCAATTTCTCCCAGCGATACAGAAAATTCGACATTAACTTCGGAAATTTCTCACGTCGATTACTCCTTCCTCTCCGCCGAAGCCGAAGTGTTGATCATTTTACATTCTCCGACGAAGCCGAAGCGTTTCCAAAGATGATTATTAATCATCGTTTACCCTTCTCCGTCGAAGCCGAATCGTTACAGAGATTTGCAAAGCTCAGTATTTCTTCAGAATTTCCGCTTTCATCTCCACAATTTTCAGAATTTGGTTATTCACAAAGGTATTTCTTCTTCGTCTTCACTCCTCTATACAAAACCCTAACTCTCCCTTTTAGTTCTTCAGTCCTTAAATTTTGATATAATTTTGCCCCAATTTTCGAATTCCTACAGTTTCAAGCTACAAGAGTTTAAATATTCCAACAGCAGCTGTATCGGTTATGATTTTTTTCTTAATTTAGGTATTTATTCTAATATATACCTGCTTTTCATTCAAATTTTACTTAAGTTATAGTTACAATACGCTCATTTTTAGGTTTACAGTCTTTAATTTACAATAGATGCAGTTTGTCTCATGTTAAAAGTGTGCTAAATCAAGTTTATTTGGTTGTAACCTGTTTTAAATTTTTAATTATTGATCATATGTAAAGTGGACATGTAAATCCTTCAGTCTAAAAGTCCGTGTAGTTAATGTCCCTATCAGAACAATGGATGCTTCATCATCCATGGTTGCATGCACTACATGGATTGATCCGATGATATAACAAGGCACCATTTCTCTACTCTTGATTTATATCCTTGTGATTTTACATAATTAGTTTATATTCATTTTTTGGAAGGTAGTACAATAACAGTGAACAGACATGAATGCCAGTTGACTTGTAGGATACATTCAGATTTTGTTTGTTGCTCAAGGAAAATCGATTTAGGTCAAGCCATCGAAAAATCCAGTTCATTATGTGTTTCGTGTTTTCTTATTTATTCAATACAATGTAACGTACATATTTAGACTGCTAGTGACTGGTGATCCAAACTCCCCCAGTCATTTCCAGTCAAGCTGCATTATTTCTTCAAGATAGACATGACTCATTTGAGTTTTTTTAGTTCTTTATACTATTAACTTTATTGCTACTTGTTTTAGTCTAATAGAATATGAATATGAAGCTTTGTTCTGTTCTGCAGAGTACACAAGTCTCTGGCGGAGCAAAAGATCACGAACTTCAGATTATCGGATCTTAAATGTAAGGTTTCTCATCATTCGAGCTCCTAATTATCATTTAGTCACATGTAGTATCTCCAATCTAATAATTTCCTAAAATTCTATAGAACTTCTTAGTTTGACGTCTTAATTCCTAAAAAACTTGTTAAGAACAATATTTCAGTTCTATAGAACTTCTTACAAGGTTTGAAGCCTTGTTCCTCTAGCCTCTAGCTCTTCTCAACGCTTGATTGCTTGAATAAATTTACTGTTAGAAAAAGGAAAAAGAAAGAAAGAAAGAAAGGATAAGTCTCTTATAGTTGGTTTCTATGCAGGTTGTAAAATTAGCCGAGTTTGAGAGTTTTATCTATTCACATCAGTTCAATTATTTAAATGGGTCTTCAATTTTGCTCAAACTGGGTTTCAATTATTTTACTAAGTCAGGCAAGTGTCTAAAGGCATTCTCGGTGTGATGGGTTTCAAAATTGTCTTCTTTTTTGGGATACTTTTTGAGGCTAATGATGAAGATCATTAAAACTTGCTTGTTTTTAGTAACATTCAAGGTTGCTTGCTTTAAGTTAAAACATAAATAATGTTGTTTTAGGTCGCGCACATATGCATTCATGCATAGTTTCATACTTGATATAAAGACCTTTCGAGATCTTTATATCAAGCCCCTTGGGAATAGCATGAGTTTTGCCAACTATACTCAAGCTTCTTCAGTTATGTAAGCTAGAGTAAAATTTGTTCAAGGACAGCTTGAACAAGCTTGAGGAAGATTTTACTATATCAATTCTAAGTTGCCTCTTAAGATCTCCAAGCTTGCAGAACTTTTTGTATTGCCTTAGATTTTGTGATTCTCAACATTATAGTCTTACATGTGTGTTGGAGAGAAATAACATTACTTCATGCACACGCATGCATTCGCAGACACATATTTATGATGGCATTTCCGTAACATATTCATATCTAGATTTTCCTGATGTATGGTATTTGCATACCCATATTATGTTGTCGTCTTACCTTGAATATGTACATACCGGTGTAAACCTATTGGTATTAATTTGCACCTGGGAAAGTAATACAGTTTATTTATGCAGATAAAACTTCATAAGTCTAATAATGTCGTGAATCTCTCATACTAGATTCCTATACGAAATAACAAAGTAATATCAAGGGAATAGGTGTCTTTTAGAAACGTTGCAAAAGTTACCTGCTATAAGTTCTAACAGTACACAGACCATGGTGAAACAACAATTCTGGAACCAATGAATTGTACAATTACATCTATATGTATGTGCTAGCATGCGAATTTGTGCATGCTCCTTGATGGTCTTAACCTACAGCGTGATTACAAACAATGATAGTGTATTTTGGTGTCATTAATTCTCCCAATTTATTTGTGTCAGATTGAGAAGTAACTGCCCAGGCAGAAAGAAACCATGGAGCTCTCCAAAGACACTTCCACGTTACACCACGAGATTGAAATTAAGTACGACTAACAACAATCTAATCCAACAATATCTCCAAGGTAGGCATGCAACTGGGATACACCTTTCCTCAACATTCATCTCACCTTCTTTTAATACTTTTGAGGTAGCACAGGAACGTATGCCAAGTTAATTATTATTTGTGGTTTCAGATAAATAGAAATGTATGTTTTTTTGGCATGCCAAGTTAATACTTTGATGAGGATTTCTGTGGTAAGATGTCATGTATGTCTCTGTGGTTCATATTATAGTAGAATATTTGTCAGATGGATTCATCCTTTTCTTAGTTAATTATCTAATGATTTGGGAAGTAGAAGAAGATGATAGAACAGTTGGTGAATGTTCAAAATTTTTATGTTATGTATTCTTTTCTTTTTACTTGTTTCCAAACAGATCATATTGCTAAGTTCTGATAACTTCTAAAATTTTGGCAGATGCCAACCTGGCTTTGATCAACTCTGCAGAGAGGAGAAGTCTCAAATTCCTCAAAAAACATATGTTCACGGAGCGCAAATATGGAGAGTTAATTGCAAAAGTACCTCTTGTAGTTTCACCTAATTGCAAAGAGACCCCCGTAGTTCTATTTGTTACAAACAGAACCACTATAGTTCTACTTGATGCAAATAGACCTCTAAGTGAAATTCTTTCTACTCTTAAAATCGTTAAGAATGTTTGAGGAAGTCTACAGTTTATTGGTGAGAATCGCACTTGCATTTTTTCACTTTTGAAAGAATAAAAAATGTTCACTTATGCGGTGTATCCACACTTCGGCCAATACTTCAAGGGTCTATTCACAACATATTTTCTATAATTGTACATGAAATGGACAATACCAATTTTTGGTGCAATGGTTTGGTTATCTCGCCATATTTTCATTATGTTGAAACTCCCAGGAAGATATGCATCTATTGAAATTGCAAGCTATATTAAAGCTTCCTCATTAGGTAATAATTTATTTCCAAAGACTATATATATGGAGCATCTTTATGTCTGATTTTTTTTTCTGAACATGCTGAAGGTATTGAAAACCTCAGAGGCTTCTGAACAATTTTTTGTAAAACCCTTATTTGTTTGTAGCGAAAATGTGAAAAAAAAGTAAATTCTAATGAATAGAACCTAAATTGCCTCAGAGAAAACAATTACATTGGTGTTATGCTTAATTTCAAAATACGAAAATTTCAGAATGAAATCACATAAAGATATATGCTATAAATGATGACTGGATATATATCACACCTACCATCAAAATTATTCAATTTATTTCAATATCAACTTCACAACATGTATTTCTCAACAACTTAGTTTTTTTGACATATCAAAAATTCTGCCTTGTTAAATGGTATGATGAGGTTGTTCTCAGCACATATGTCTCTAATTAGAATAGGTTACAGTCCAATTAGTTGTGGTCCAGTTTTCCTTCAAGAGGTACAAGAATATTGTTCCTAATAATTTAACATTTTTTCGACAATGGTTTAAATATTCCAACAGCAGCTGTATCGAGATTAGAAAGTAAGTTGAGTTGAGTTCTTTTATTTTTCAGATTGTGACTCAGAACGGGAAGCTGATGCCGAATCTGAATCTCGATCAGCAGAGCACCAAAGTCCTGAATGTGACTGTTCTTCAGAGGATCGATCCATGAGCTTCAGCTTCTTAGCATCCTTTTAATTACTAAATAATGCACAAGTTGTTATGAAGCTCATCTAGTCCTTTCTTCCCCCTTAATTGTTATTTGGTTGTTTGTTTGCATATTATGACGGGAGCATGTTTATTAGGATGGAGTGCAACGGAGTACATTCTTTTTGTTACAAATAAATGTTTATTTTCCCTGCCTGCCTATATAGGGTTACAAATGATAAAATTGCATTCCTTGTATTATAAGTCAATATGTGTGTTTGGTTTATCATCAGTTCTGTGATGAGGTGTCCCCTTAGTTTAACAGCACCTCAACTCAGGTAAGATGAAAATACCCTGATATCAGATACCTTTGATGTAAAGCTGCTTATCATTTTGGCATCACTCCTAGACTTCTTTTTGTCCTGAAAGTTGCATGAAATTATCTCCTTGAGTTTTATTATATCACTTGTATGATAATTCAAATGAGTTGATTGTTGAATACAGTGCCTTGCTGCATTCAAAACTAGCTTTATGTTTTATTATTTTTAGTTTTGCTATGGATGTTAGTGACTATTCATTGTAATGACAATTGTTTCTGATATTGCAGTCCTTACTCCCTGAGATTAGGGACTTTATGTGTTCACTATCAGTGTTAGAGGCAGACATATTTCTGAAGGTAACACCATTACCCCTTAATCATCTGATATATTAACTATTTATGTTAAGCCAATGGTATATATCCTTGAATTCTTCAAATATCACATTACTTTGTTTTTGTTTGTTTTGGTCACATTAATTTCCTGCACACAACAAAATATGTTTTCTACATGTGAGTGATGTAGATCATAACTTTACACATGAATAGAGGTGTAGGTACGTACATATTTTTAGCTGACTCATTTTGCGACACAGAAAATTTGGTGGAGGATATCTTGTGAGATTTTGAGTATGAAATCCAACCTCCATACTTGTTGTACCGGAATGCAGCTCAAGAAGTTAATGGTATATGGTTTTACAACCAACAAGAATGTGAAGCTGTTAAAGCTCTTTTCCAGAGGTCAGTACTTAGTGGTTCAAAAACTTACACCTCATAATTGTATATAATATAGTATTATACTTTATGCAATGTATTTCCAGTATTGGTGTAACTTTTTTCCCATAGTAAGATACCATGTGCTATTTTAGTCCTCGTCTTAAATGTGCTTATATAAAAGAAATTCATTTTTAAATTTATCTTTGCAATGAAAATAAATATAGTACCATTTTACAGGAAGAACACAGAGCACATGATCTCTTTTATGCCCTATGGATTCCCGAACTCTTTATGGAGAGAGTCCAAAATAATGGAGAGTGGTCATTGTTTTGCCCTAATGAAGCTCCAGTATTGACTGATTGCTGGGGCAAGGAGTTTAATAAGTTGTACACAAAATATGAGAGAGAGGTAAACCTTCTCTGATTTAAAAAATTGGATCTAATAAGATTTGTTAGGGAAAAAGTATGAAATAGGTTTTGATGAAATATGTCTCCCGTAAGCTCTCACCTAATGGTTGATAATCTATTCATTCATTTTTCAGGATGTTCCTATTGAGTCACATCCATCAAAGTTGGTTAGAAGCACAGGATCAAATAACAGATACTTTGATTTCTATAAACTGGCTGAGGTTTGCTATTCTTACAGTATTAGGTGCTAAGAATGATTCCCACTGAAACTGTTGTGTGCAACTTGAATTCAATTGAGTAATGTAATCCATTGTTGAATTAAGCATTTTGCGTGAAGGATGGTGAGAAATTAAGCTAAATATTAGAATCTTAATTAACGGTGTAGTTTGTCAACTTGTTGGAAATATGAATTAGTCATTAGCTAAATTTAGTAGTACGGTGGGAACTCAAGCAATTGGGTAATGCTGGTGATGAATGATGCATTTCACCAGATTGATACCTTTTACGGCGATAAAACAGTTGATTTCTGAGATAAAACAATGCATTTGCTTACCTTATGATTTTATGACTATTACATTTAAAGCCTGGTTAGTATGGCAGTCTGTTCGGGTCTCATAGAAGGCCTTTCGGCTAATCTAGAACTAAGAAGTTTCAAGATCTGAGTTCATTAGTCATATATTCTGCAGCACATCTTGCTTCAAAAGAACACATACAATTTTATTATTATTTTGTTTTTTTTAACGATGGTAAAGGTAGTTGCAGTATTAACTTAATTTTTAATTTTACAGCTTGAAGATCTTTCTACCAATGACAATCCTAGCTCTGTTAGTTCTTATTCCGGTGAATGTATAAGATGGGACATTGAAAAATATTAACAAAGACATAGTTTTCAGTGGCATTGATAAGCTCTCAATTTCAAATGTTACGGAGGGTTCTCAACGGTAAGTTGCTTTTCTAAAGTAAATAATTCTATCTAGAATAATAGCCACTCTTAAATTACTGTCTTCTTTGTTTTGCTTTCATGATTTTTTATTATTCTGCTCACAATTTGGCATGCGGTGGCAAGTCTTAAAATTTACAGATAATTTCCTTACTTTGACTAGAAAAATAGTTCATCAAAACGGAGTATCTAAGTTATATCCCTGTCTTACTTGCTTTATGTGCCAGTTTATTTGTTTTAATTCCAATTACTTTCCATTTCCAGTTTAATTACTACTATGGACTTAATATAATTATTTTGGTTATAATTTAGGTTATGGTTTCACCGGTCAATGGCATAATTGTTCACCATATGGACTTGCTACGTCCTTTACAAGGAGTATGGACATATAGCCTTCATGAGATTGCATTTTCTAGAAGATCAATATCGTCGTGCTGCTCAGTTCACTGTAAGTACGGGTTAAGTACACTGTAAGTATGAGTTTGCCACTTGTTGAGTGATCGTCATCCAATGGTTAAAATAAGTTCAACTTGATCTAACTATGTCTACTTTGATTTGACTTGAAATGTTGAAACATAAGTTTGATCTCATGTTGCACCTTTGTACAAGTTAATCATTTACGGTAGTCACTTACTACTTCGAATTTATGATTTAGTTTGTTCATTTATCTATTTACAGGTAGTTGTCAGAAATAACCCACATGTTTCTAGGCAATCTATATCAAAAAGCGTGGATCAATTTTTTCACCAGAACCATCCTGAACACTACCTTGGCCACCAGGTAATAGATGTTTCTCATGAGAAGTTTACTATCCTTATAGTGTTTATAAATATAATATTTCTCTTCCCTTATTAACAATTCACTACGTGTTATTTTGCACTTGAATTATTTAGTAAAATTCCATTTCTCAACTGTTTGTGTACTGGAACAGCTACCAATTCCTTAAAACAGCACTAACTTACCGAAATATTTAATATGTAAACTTTAATAATTTAGAGTGGTAATCTTTAATATGTATTGTGTATTGGTCATGGGCTAATGATATGTAATCTTTAATTAACAGTTGAGATATAGTTTTACACATTTAACAAAGAAGTTGAAGTGTGTGTTTAATATTGTGTATTGGTTAAAATATTAAATATGTAATCTTTAATATGTAATAATATGACAGGAGGAGAAATATTTTGGCATGTAGAAAACTAAGTCAATAATTATTTCTAACGTGTTAAACTATTGGTTGAACTGGTTTTGATGACATATATGACAAATCAGTTATCAATTATTCCAATCAAACACATTTAACAATAATATAGTAAAGGTTCCTTAACTTAAAACATGTTTCATCGAGAAAAGCCATGATCCAGAGGATCTTCCTCTAACCATGATAGTTCTTCTAATCTTACTACTGATCCATCTGATTCTTTTGTATGTCAGAAAGGATTTCTTGGGCTTTGTGGTGTAAGAACGGATGCAATTGACTACTATAGTGAAAGCATCTAGGAAATTGACAAATACGTAAGTCAATTATATTTCCTAAGAAGTTTCCTGCATCACTTCAGACATAAGTACTTCAAAGGGTATTAATGTATGGATGTTAATGAGAGAGTAAGGTATATCATCATATTGATTAACCCTGAGCCTTTAATAGATGCATTTTCATATGAAAAAAACTAATTTCCAGCTTTGTTCTGAACTTTTATTTTGTCTTTTGGTTCAGTTAGTAGCAGAGCGTCAGATAATTCTCAAAGATCCAAAGTCTATCATGCCTGTAGCATTTGTTTCATTTGACTCGAGATGGGCTGGCTGCTATTTGTGCTCAAACTCAGCAAAGTAGGAACCCAACACGCTAGTTAACTTACTGGGCACAAGAGCCACGCGATGTTTACTGGAAGAATCTAGCTATACCATTTGTTTCTCTCATCATCAGAAAACTGCTTATATCATTATCTGTGTTCGCTCTGGTATTCTTTTACATGATACCTATTGCTGACGTGCAGTCACTGGAAAATCTCGATAGTGTGTTCGCTCTGGTATTCTTTTACATGATACCTATTGCTGACGTGCAGTCACTGGAAAATCTCGATAGCCTGGAAAAATCGGCTACTTTCCTCAGGCCTATGATAGATCTGTAAGTACTTCTGTCTTGGGATTTTAATAAAATGATGAATAGGTCACTAACTTAGTTAACTTAAGCATCTGAGAAGATCAAATGAACCTTATTTTTGACTCAAGTATCAATTTATTTTAAGTTTGCACATTATTGTTGTACGTGTTTCAGAATAAAGTAATTCATTGATGAGATATATGCAATTGCTTCCAAGCGAGAAAACCTGCAAAGGGAGATGGAACGGCGGATAGTAACACAACATATGACTTGCATGGATGTATAACATCACACTCAGTCTTCTGATGATTCCCAAAAACATCTGAGAAGAAGCTTGGTTATGTTCTTGTTAGCGGAGCAACAAACAATCAAAATGCAATTGACCAACCTTTAAGGAGAGCTGGACGGTTTGATCGTGATAAGTCTTTGGGTGAACCTGATGAAAAAACCACTGCTAGAGATCCTGTCAGTTATTACTCGAAAATGTAAATGTGTGTTTTGGAGAGAGTGGAGTCAATGAGATATAGTTTTATATAATAATTATGTCCTTTTGAACTTTTAAGTGTTTCATAAAATTACAAGCTGAGTATTGCATGATTGCAAGGTTAGATGATCAATGAATTCCTATCGTTCAATTGCATTGCAAATGAGCATGGTTATGGTTGGGATATTCACATGAGTTGGAAAGAAAAAAAAAATTATGTTGTTTGTCTAACTTTGATTTGGATGAATCCTCAGGTACAAGTTCATGTGAAAATAAACTAAACAATATGATGCTTTTTGTTATATGTCATGGTATCTGTAGAATTTGATTTTCGTTCAAATAGAGTACTACCTTATGTAGAGTATACAATTAAGTAATTAACTATGATTTAAATTTATCTACAGGAAAGTTCATTTTCTTATCAATCTATTTCAAAGTGTTAACTTCATGACCGATATAATTCATCAATCTAAAGGGAAACACAAAGTTTAGAATATTTTGCTTGGATTTAAATCCACATCTTCAAACATTACTTTTACATATATTCTTGTTATTGTATTTGATTGATCAATCAACTTGTACATACAACCACTCCAATATTGCATAATTGATCCTTAAATATAAACGTATTATTCAAACATTTTTAATTTTAAGCTTATGTTCATATATATTGTGTACATTCATTAAATTTATACCAAATCTTTCCATAAATATTATTAAAATTAAAATTAATATCAAAAATTTTACCACGTGCATTGCACGTGCAATCTAACTAGTACTCTTTTTAAAAGCACGAGTTTGGGAAAGTCTTTCTGTAAACAAAAATATCCTTGAAATTCAAATACTAATTCATTAAGTAAGAGTAAGTTGATAAATTGATAAATTCTTATTGGATATACATAGTATGAAGATAAGGATATAGTTTAAATTAAAATGTAAATCTGAATGAAAATATTAAATGCCAAATTCACAAATGTTTACAATATTAAGGGTGTATATGCATAAACCAAACAATTTAACGAGGCAAAATAATGCCTATTCTAAAGATCGAACCCAGGAGTAGTGCAGACCTACAAATGTACATAATGTGAACATGGTATCTGCAAAATCCACCAAACAAATCAAAGAGACAAAATCTTTCTCAAAAATAAAAAACAAAAATTAAAACAAACGGCTGCGATCTAAGGACACAACGTGACGATCTCTCACCGACTAAAATTCAAGTAGTTTACAGTAGTGCATAATTAGTTTTAACATTTAATTATACTATTATTATTTAAATATTTATTTTCTTCTTATTAAATTAGATTAGATTATCTTAATTAATTATATTTTATATTTAATCTTTTCATATTAAGAAATAGCAATAATTTTCACAGCACTTTCATATCTATTTTATTCTTATTAGATTAGATTATATTATTTTAAAATAATTAATTATATTGTATATTTGATCTTTTTTTTAGATCAAGAAATTACGATAATTTTCGCAGCACTTTCATCTCCTTCAACATATATGTGTCTTTGTTATTTTCTTCTTATTAGATTAGATTAGATTGTTTAAAAATTATGAATTATAAAATTATGTCTTTGTTATTTTCTTCTTATTAGATTAGATTAGATTGTTTAAAAATTATGAATTATAAAATTACAACAATTTTCACATTACTTTCATCTATTTTTTCAATTACAACAATTTTCACATTACTTTCATCTATTTTTTCCCTTATTAGATTATATTAGATTATTTTAAAGTAGTTAATTATATTAGACTATATTAGATTATAATTTAGATTATATACAAATTTAAAAAAATAATGTTGTGTATGCAAGTATATAAAGGTATATTTATCCTCGTTTAACACTTTATATTTATTTCCAAAGTTTACTCTATTACTTTCATCTATTTCACAATTTATTTAAAAATATTTAAATAAAATTATGACAAATGTAATAATCCATGTTATAGATTTTAAATCAAAATGAATCTGACTTATTTTATAGTACAAAAATAAGTAAATAATAAATAAATTTAATATTTAACCACGTGCATTGCATGTGCACAAAAACTATTATATACATATATATGAGATGACACAATAAGATTTCTATCGTAAGCTAGCTCAGTTATCTATCCGATATTATTACCAATACCTTCCATCCTGATTTACACCCCACATGATCTATATGTAGAAAAATTACATAATTTAGAAGTATCTTTACTAAATTCTTAACAATCCAAAAATTATAAACAATATTCTTAAAAATCTAAAATTTGTACAAAGACTGTTAATTTAAAAAAGCATAGACAACCTCTTAGAAATAATTTTTTCTTGAAAAATCATTAAACTTTTAAAAATTGCCAAACAACCCCTTATATAGCTACAAGTTACAAATTTATGTTTGAATGTTCTAAGAATTATGAACATCAGGACCCCTTGAAAAACACAGAAGTTACAAAAACACACTCAAAAATCTAAAATTGGTTTATAGAAAAAATCATAAAAAATTGAAATTCTTGAACAACCTTAACACTGTGAAATTATAGGCACAACCCTAAACTTTGGAAATTACTAACAACCTCCACACTAAAAAATTTAAAAAATATAAAAAGCACACTAAATATACGAAAACTATCAACAGTCCCCGAACAAACTTGAAATTATAGACAACACCTAGAAAAAAAATTCCAAATAATGCCCCTTGAATGTCATTATTAACTAGTAACATATTGATATATAACTTTTATTATTTTTAAACTGATATTTTGGATCATGTAACTAATATTCTTTTTCGGTCTCATGTGAATTTTGTGACGTATGAATTTGGTATTGATCTCCCATTGTATTAGTTGTTATGCATTTGTTATATAGCATAAAAGTTCTTTGATATGTTTGTTAGATCAAATCAAAGTTGTAAAATTATAAGTTAGAATTTTTGATATGTCTGTTAGATCAAAGTTCTAAAATTTGTAAGACATAACTGTTAGGTCTCATGTTTATGAACCTATTATCTAATCTAGTTTTGATAATTAACAAACAGTTCCTAACAACGTTTGTCGAGTGTTTATATTTGCTTGTTAGGTATTCCACACAAAGATCCTCCGTTGGAGGTTGGTTGGAATTGAGCTTAACGATGATATTCAAAGGAGGTTGGCGGAATCAGAATGAAGCTTTGCATTTCAAGCCAAGATCCAATACTACTTCATCCGCATACCAAGACGAGCTTATTGAAGATTAATTGCCTTGCGTAATAGTGTTTTAGGTTTATACTTTGTGTGTTTATACTTAGAGCTCAAAATTCATACACACACATTTGTTTTGATTTATCGTTTATTTTTTATTTATCACCGTTTTGGATTATAGACTTAACAACACAATTTTATATCTGTCCTCAAGTCTATAAATCTATTTTAATGTGTTTCAAAACTTGTTTGAAAGAAATTCATCAATATCAAGTTTTAACAAGTTCATATGGTTTACCGCTTTAAAAAATAATGTGTTGTGGATTAATATCTTAATATAATTGTTGTATATCTTTCTATTTAAAAAATTTTTGAGATCATTTTGTCAAAATAAAGTATTTTAAACGAATTTGTTTTTTGACTGATTTTGCCAAATGACGAGTTTTCACAAATGGAAAATGTGTTTTCAAAAAAAAATTCTTTAACATGTTTAATTTCATCTACACAAACATTATCCAAAATTTTACTAGTTTTAGAGTTTATTTGTTATTTTAAATTGTATTTTCAAAGTCGGATATTTTGGAAAAAATAGGTGTCTGGAATATATGTTATCGGTCGACCGATCAGTTGCAACCGGTTGACCGATTAGAAATAGTTTTTCAGACCCTGCAGACAAATCGCTCATCAGTTGGCCGACACACAATGATCGGTTGACCGATGGCTGATGTTCAGTCGACCGATACAACAATGTCGGTCAATCAAATGAGCTCGAGATGTTTTAGTCTACCAACGGTCATCTAGTCGGTCGACCGACCATGGTCTATTAGACGAACGAAACTACTGTAACGGCTAGTTTTCGTCGGTCGATCGAATGAGCTCGAGATGTTTTAGTCTATCAACGGTCATCTAGTCGGTCGACCGACAATGGTCTATCGGACGACCGAAACTACTGTAACGGCTAGTTTTCTAGACTCCATGAGTTTGGGGATTTTGTCGGTTTTAAGGATTTTTCTTAGGATTTGGGATATTGTTTTGAGTGCCTATAAATATTTTTCAGCCCTCATTTGTTCAATAACTAAGAGAAGTTTAAAAACAAGTTTGCAAGTTTTGTTTAAGAGTTTTAAAAAAAAATTAAGTGTGTTGTTTATGTGAAGAGACTTTCACAAGAGGAGGAGATTATTTCGGTTTTGAGAATCAATTTTCATATCTCTATCTCTCTTGTTTTTAGAGAAGTTTTTCTAAACTCAATCTCTAGCAATTATATTTTGTTCATGATTTCTATAAGCTAGATTTTTTAGTTGAGTTTAATTTTTGTTATTCTCATTGTTCACACACACACACCCTTTGAGCTTTAAGAATTTCAGATATAGTATTTAGGTTGTGAGAGTGTTACATTGAATGTGAGCTTTAATTTCGTTCTCATCTTTGTTGGAGAACAAAACACTTATTAGATCTTGTAATTATTGAGAGAACACATTGTAATACACAAGGACACTTAGAGAAGTAGTTAGTAAGAGACATGGTCAATTCCAAGAGAAGTGGCGTCGATTGTAAATCCTAGGGAGATGTCATAATTTCAAGCGCTTGAGGAAGGTAACACGAGCTAGGCCAACACTTAGAGGAGCGTATTGTGTATTAACAATAGTGTGGGATTGTAAACGTTTATCGGTGAGCGTTGAAAACCGATTTGTGTAGTTACATTTGTGTTGATAGTGGAGATTCTCCTCTAGGGTGAGGAGCGGAGACGTAGGTCAAGGGTGACTGAACTCCGTGATTACTTGCTTGTGTTTGAGTTTGGCATTGGTGTACTTTTATTCTCTTATTGTTTATATCACCTATTGCTTTATATTTGTTTATCCTTGCATATATTTTCTTGTATATCATATTTGCTAGGATAATCAGTAAATAAGGTTTTAAATTGGCATTAAATCGGATTAGATTAGAAAATACCATATTCACCCCCCAAGGTACTTTCAATA